CATGTTGGACATCGTTTGTTGCTCAATTACACCCTCTAATAATTATTTGATCCACAGATATGCAAATATTTGTCAGAATGTTCTGCACTAGAAGTCGTCTCAAAGTTTTTCGTCCTCGCCAGAGTCAGAAACCCATTCACAATCAAATTTTGAGCACCATTCTTGGATAAAAAGAGCAGCACCGTCTCAAATTAGTGCAACTAGCTGGAAGTTCCTACGCTCTTATAGCATAATTCGTACGTGTGTCGTTACAACAAAAACAAAAAACAAACAAACAAAAAAAGATGAAGAGCGTTATGGAATGATAAAACAGTTAGCATAATCCCGCAGGCAATACGTTGACCATTACTAGCAGAGCAAGGTACGGTAAGCAGAAGTTTCATAATCGTGCCTATAAATAGCTTTTTTAAATCATGCTTTTAAAGCTCATCTACAGTAATCTAATCAGACGTCAAATTTTATGATAAAATGCTTTTTTAGCATCTAAAGACAGAATCTCTGCTCTTACTAGAATATAAAACAGAATACTGACAAGTTTTTGGAAATTTATGATACGCAATCATAAACAAATTACAAATAAGGACGTTAGCATGCAATTGCAACATGGCGGATGTTTATCACTGCTAAGTCTTGTGTGGTCAGAACATTATTCTTTGTTTTCCCTAGGAACTACAACTAATATAATTCGATTTTAAATTCAACTACGCACAAAATTACTGCTTATATGTTATAGATCCGAATTAAACTTTTCACAAGTCCATAATCCCAATATTTTACAATACTGATTAAATGCTTATTTTTTACATAAAAGTAGTAAGTCTACCGTAGTTCTAAAACTGTACAGGCAGGCTGTAATAATGTTATCATTATTTTATAAATACGTTGTTAGTTCAGATTCATGTGTTGTCTAATTAGTCTCTTCAGTGCATCTTCTGGAGCATAACCAAAAAGAACCCTTCATTTTGAGGCTTCTTTCGATCAAATATCCGTTATTTATGCTTTAACGTTATCTTTGCTAACAACGTTGTCAATCTCAATGGTGTGGATTAAAGTCCTACATTCACTCTTTCTCATGCTTTTCTAAGTATTGATCCATCTTTCATACCAATGTAAAATTGCATAGGAAAGTTTTTTTTTTTTAAGATGAACGAATTTCCTGCCCCGCTAAAGGTCAACTACAACAACTTCTGGGAGAACTTCGGCAACTACTCAGATTTCATATTACCCGAAAAAATTGAAGAAACTAGTGATGAGGTAGTTGAGACAGGAAGCCTTCATTGATAAAAAACGATAGCCCTTTTTAAAGGACGAATACTTCAAAACAGCCATTGGAATTTCTGTCATCTTCCTGGCCATGCTCGGTATCTTAACCAACATCCTCGTGCTAATTTTATCTTTTTGTCATGTTACCGGCGATTTTGGGTGAGTCTTTCATCTTTTTTTTTCAACTGTCAATTCTGATAATTCATTCCTTCTTCTAGAAACCTCGTCGCAAACCTTGCCGTCGTAGATATCGCCTGCGGTTTCGTTTTTGCATTTATGGGCTTCATCAACGTAGAGGATAATAAGAAGCATTTCTCATTCGGGTAAGGCCTCTATTATTAGCATACAATTCTCTGTTATAACAGAGGAATGCTGCTTAAAAAATTTATTGCATCAATTTTGGAGTCTTAGAATGAATGAAAAGATTCCTAGAGGTTATTCTGATAGTTATACTTTACATTCTTGAACTTAAGGAATTGCAGCGGAAGCGTGCTTTATGCAGTGTGATTTAAGAACGAAATTGTTCAGCAACGTACGAACCAAGCATCATTTTTCATATTTCTTTCTAGAAATCCTCTACATATTCAGAGTCACTCATATTGCTATTTTGAAAATTTATCTGTTTTTCTAATGAAGATACATCTCTTAGGGTGCGATGAAAGCCAAAGCTAAGTGTTGGTCTCAAAGAGTAGAATATACAATTGCCTACTCAGACATAATAGCCAGGTTGCATGAAGGCAATGAAGGGAACATGCCTTTTGTTCCTTAACGTTGTAGTGAATTGAAACAGGACACTGGTCTTCAATGCAGCTTTTAGCGTGTTGTTTGCAAAAAACCTTAGA